ACACCCGGCTAATTTTGTATTTTTAGTAGAGACGGGGTTTCTCCATGTTGGCCAGACTGGTCTCGAACTGGTCTCAGGTGATCCACCCACCTCGGCCTCCCAAAGTGCTGGGATTATAAGCATGAGCCACCGCACCTGGCCGGAAATTAAAAATTTTAAAAAAGAAATCCCTCCATTGAAATGGACTCCTCCAGATCTATAGGGGCTCCAGGAATTCCCTTTAAGGCACAATGTACAGCTGTGATGTAGAACTGGTAACACCACCAGCCAGCATACCGAAAGTTCACTGGCTGCAGATTCAGCTCATAACTCTCCCATCAACTATAGTATCTTCATTAATTGATGTAAAATGGAAGCTTAGAAGGATCAAGTAAGAATCTTGCCTGTGCCACAGTGCTGGGTGGCAAAGGCAGGATTCGATCCTGGATGATTGGACTCCGGTGCCTAGCATCTCAACCCCTGCCCTACACAGCCACCTTCAGAATGTTGTCTTCTCTCCTGTCTCCTTCCTGGTTATTGGGAGTCAATGACACCAACAGCAGAGTCTCTCCCATGAGCCACTGTGAAATTCCTCCCATGATTCTCATAGCCTTTGGGAAGTGGTGCTTTTCCACAGAGCTTCTCAGTCGGTATGGCTGTGCTTAGACATTAACACTGACTTTTTGTCTCCCTGTGGGTTGCTGTCTTCCGGTTGAGTTGCCAAGCTTTCATCTAAGGTATTAGACATTAGATTTGGGGGAATTTTAGTTCTGTTAACATTCTGGGACTTCCCCCCCTCCCCCAACTTTTATTTTAGATACAGGAGGTACATGTGCAGGTTTGTTACATGGGTATATTGTACTCAGGTAATAAGCGTGGTACCCAATAGGTAGTTTTTCAACCCATGCCTCCCTCCCGCCCTGCTCTAGTAGTCTGCAGTTTCTGTTATTCCCATGTTTATGTCTGTGGATGCTCAATGTTTAGCTCCCACTTATAAGTGAGAACATGCAGTATTTGGTTTTCTGTTCCTGTGTTATACACTTAGGATTATGACTGCCAGCTCCATCCACATTGCTGCAAAAGACATGATTTTGTCCTTTTTTAAGGCTGCATAGTATTTCATGGTGTATATGTATATATAATACCACATTGTCTTAATCCAGTCCACTGTTGATGGGCACCTAGGTTGATTCCATGTCTTTGTTATTGTGACTAGCAAGGTGAGGAACATACAAGTGCATTTATCTCTTTTGAAAAATGATCTATTTTCCTTTGGTATATACCTACGAATAGGATTTCTGGATCAAATGGTAACTCTAAGTTCTTTGAGAAATCTCGAGACTTCTTTCGACGGTGGCCAAAATAACTTACATTCCCACCAACAGTGTGTAAGTTTTCCCTTTTCTCTGCAGCCTCGGCAGCATCTGTGGGATTTCAAGGGCAATCTGAGTTATTTTATCCAGGATCTTTTCCCATGAAAAATAATGCAGGTATTTTTGGAGATTGAAACACACATGAAAACTAGAGCATCCTGTCCACCCCAGAGAGACAGACAGGTTTTCTTTTCTTGTGGGACGGAGTTTCACTCTTGTCGGCTGGAATGCAATGGCGTGATCTCGGCTCACTGCAACCTCCGGCTCCCGAGTTCAAGCAATTCTCCTGCCTCAGCCCCCCGAGTAGCTGGGATTATAGACTTCCACTACCATGCCCGGCTAATTTTTGTATTTTTAGTAGAGACGGGGTTTCACCATGTTGACCAGGCTGGTCTCGAACCCCTGACCTCAGGTGATCTGTCCACCTTGGCCTCCCAAAGTGCTGAGGTTACAGGTGTGAGTCACTGCACCAGGCCCAGACAGGTTTTTTGTTGTTGTTTCTGTCTCTCCTGGACCAGAGAGATCTCTAAGTGCATCTCCTACCTCTAAAGACTTTGCCTTTTCAGCTTCCATTCTCAGCAGCTCAATGAGGCACGGGCCGTACCCAGATGTGTAAGATCAGTCTCTAGGCTTGCTGAAGATCCCGCCTTTGCCTCTTCACATTCCTGTTGGGCAGGAGTTAGCTTCTCTTGTCTCTTTTTCTCTCCTGATCTTTCCCCTTTTCTGACAACTCACTCATCTCGCTCCTCCACTCAGTTTTCCTTTGACATGAATTTTTCTCTTCTCAGCCGAGCCTCCTAATCTTGTTCTTCCTCAAGGACACCTTGGAATAAAAGCCTGGCATGGCCCTGAGTGCCTCCTCCTCCTGCGTACACCTTTCGGCCTCTCCCTGCATTCTTGTTGGGTGTCAGGAACTGAGTGGTTTCTGGGCTTTCTCTCCAGACCCCTTTCCCCTCTTATAACAGTAACATTTATTATTTCCACAGAGACTCTTTGAAATCTATGATCCTAGAGGCCACTCTTTGATGAGTTTCTGGAAACCTCACTGAAAACACGTTCTCTGGAGACGGTTTTCTCTCTTGGCACAGCAGCACCCAGATGGCAAAAAGACACCTTGTCCCTGTCACACATGCATTCCTATCTTTGGGGACTCTTGGGATTTGCTTGACAATAGTATCTCTTTTATGTCTTTGAAGCCTTTGTGTGATCACTTGAGGAATCCTGCCAGAATTGTCTCACAAGGACGATGTGCATTCTGTTTCTTTCCTGGGCCACGTGTCCTCCTGGGGTGGTCAGATTAAGCCCAAGGGAGACGCCATCCTATCCAGGTTGGACAAGGAAGGTGGAAGAGTCTCAGGGAGTTCTTTTTCTTATGAGGTGTCACTGTCTTGAACTTGGGGATCAGCTACTTTCTTTTCTTTCTTTTTTTTTTTTTTTTTTTGGAGAGTCTCGCACTGTCACCCACGCTGGAGTGCAGTGGCACGATCTTGGCTCAGTGCAAACTCCACCTCCCAGGTCAAGCGATTCTCCTGCCTCAGCGTCCCAAGTAGCTGGGATTATAGGCATGCACCACCACGCCTGGCTAATTTTTGTTTTTCAGTAGAGATGGGGTTTCACCATGTTGGCCAGGCTGGTCTCAAACTCCTGACCTCCAGTGATCTGCACGCCTCAACCTCCCAAAGTGCTAGGATTACAGGCATGAGCCACCAGCCAGGATCAGCTACTTTCCAACTCCGTTTTGCTACGTGAGGTAAATGGGTTACATAAATAGGGTGAGGTTGGGTCCACCCATCCATCCAAAGCATTCAGCAGCACCGTGTCTCTCATTCACACTGGTCTCCTGTCTCCTGATTGTCCAAGCTCCTTTCTTCTTCAGGCCCTTTTCTTCTCTCAGCTTTTTATAAAACTGGGTCCCCGTCTTCAGCCTCACCTGAAGACATGAGATCTTCTCTCACCCCCTTGGTGAAGTGGTCCTCACCTCACTTACTCCCTCTAGAGTCCTTACCTGAAATTACAGATGTTAGAGGAAAATGGGGTCCCTTGACTTTAATATACAGGATAAATCAAGTGACAGAACAACCAACATTAGAGCAACACAAGTTTTTATACAGTTGATGGGGACGTTCTGTGTATGCACACTAAGTACCACCCACCCAGTGGCCTTGGGTTGTGGTCGTTGAGGGTACTAGGGTACTCATGGGTTAGAGTCCCAAACTTTGAGTTTTAACTGCAAAATCCATTGTCTCCCCAAATCAAGGAAGTTTTTTTGGTTTTTTTCTTTTCTTCTGGCCATTTTTCTTGAAGACCCTTGAATCCAGCTCTAAACAGACAAGGACAGGCAGCAATTTGTGTCCAAAGAGAGCCAGGCACATTCATTTTATCGCTGTAATATCTGCATATGAAATAAAAGGTCCTGGGTTAAAAATAATAACAGTCCAGCAAAGGTTTCATGCTTCCTAGTAAGACTGCATGATGGGCATTGTCCAGGCCTTGGCAAAAGCAGGGGCGTAGAAGGAGGTTTTCTATGGTGATAAGGAGCCCTCCAGAGACCTGGGCAGGCTGAGCCGGCAGTGCTGGTGGCAGGGGGCCAAGTCCTGGCTGGGGTCTGAATTCTTGGGTGTCTGGTTCTTCTGACACTAGTTAACCCCTGTGACCTTGGGCAATCCATCTCCCTGGGTTTCAAGGCCTTCGGAAAAAGAGGTGATTCAATCAGAATAGTTTTGCTCAACTCCTATAATACCTGCCAACTCCCTTTTTATGTCGGAAAAAAGAAAAATTTATGAGCTGGTGCCACAAGGCCCCACAGTTAACACAAAACTTCTGAAGAGATCTCACTTTGACGTACTGTACCATCTGAAATGTTTTCCACATCACATACTAATATGCAAAATAAGAAAGGTACTGGGTGCAGTGGCTCACACCTGTAATACCAGTACTTTGGAAGACTGAGGCGGGCGAATCACCTGAGGTCAGGAGTTCGAGACCAGCCTGGCCAACATGGTGAAACCCTATCTCTACTAAAAATACAAAAATTAGCCAGGCATGGTGGCTTATGCCTGTAATTCCAGCTACTCGGGAGGCTGAGACATGAGAATCATTTGAACTCAGGAAGCAGAGCTTGCAGTGAGCCTAGATCTCGCCACTGCACTCCGCCCTGGATGACAGAGTGAGACTATGTCTTAAAAAAAAAAAAATTATGATACTATCATGAAATTTTATAAATATTTATTACCCTGAAATGAAATTTTATAGATAAAATAAACTATACATATATTTTAGAAAGACATTATACTACCCTAATTATAAAAGAATAAACAACAGAAAACATTTATAGTAAAATAATGTGGGCCGGGTGCAGTGGCTCACACCTGTAATCCCAGCACTTTGGGAGGCCAAGGCGCATGGATTGTTTGAGGCCAGGAGTTCCAGACCAGCCTGGCCAACATGGTGAAACCCCATCTCTACTAAAAATACAAAAATTAACGGGGCGTGGTGCTGCATGCCTGTAGGCCAAGCCACTCTGGAAGGCTGAGGCAGGAGAATCGTTTGAATCCAGGAAGCAGAGGTTGCAGTGAGCTGAGATTGCGCCACTGCACTCCAGCCTGGGTGACAGAGTAAGACTCCATCTCAAAAAAAAAAAAAAAGTATATCAATATATAAATGCTAGGGTCCGACTATAATGAAGTGCTCAGGTGTTTGTACCTACAGGTAGGCTGACACGGGTGCTCTGTGCTGCACACCACCGCATTACTGTCCACGATGAGATCGCCTGAGATGGTGCACATTTGGTTACTCTTAAAATACATGTTGAGCCTTCCCTCAACTTACAGGGCAGTTGCCTTCCTGGAAATTTCAGTGAACATTAAAATTGTGAAAAAACAAAGAGTACGTTTATTTGTAAAACAAGAATTAGGTTTGGCTCAATACCCATGCAATACCTGAAACTGAAGATTCTTCCCCGGGAGACCGCAGCCTGTCGGCATGGCTCAAGAGTCTGTGAACTGCAAAATCCAGCCCGGGAAGGTAGTTGTGTTCATCAAGCCCACCTGTCCATTCTGCAGCAGGCCCCAAGAGATCCTCAGTCAATTGCCCATCAAACAAGGGCTTCTGGAATTTGTCAATATCACAGCCACCAGCCACACTAATGAGATTCAAAATTATTTGGAACAGCTCATAGGAGCAAGAATGGGGCCTCGAGTCTTTATCGGTAAAGATTGTAAAGGCAGATGCAGTGATCTAGTCATTATGCAATAGAGTGGGGAACTGCTGATGCGACTAAAGCAGATTGGAGTTTTGCAGTAACCACAGAGCAGGCCACACGCTGACTTCCCTCCTCAAGAGCTGGATGGCATTGCACATGATGACAGCACTTCCTGGTGGATGAATTTGGGGGGCACAAACAGCTTTTTTCTTCTTTTGGCTCATTATTTAAGAGTGGATCAACTTGCTCTTAACCACGGGGCCAAGAAGGTTGACAGGCCATCTTGGTTTTCTTCTTGATGAACTCTTTGGTTTTCAGAAGACGGTGACGAGTTCTGGCCTAGGATTCGCCCACTGACCCTCAATTGTTCTTTCTCTCTGGCATGCATTTCTTACTGTTCTCCATGTGTCGGCATGCCTCTGCCTCTAAGCCAGTGTTTTTCAACTATGTTTATACAGACTCCTTCTCTACAATGATGAATCCATAGCTGGTTTTCTGCTACTGCCCATTAGCTGAAGTCATTTTTCTGCTCGACTTTATGGAGTTGGTGTTATGAAATCAGTGGGTATTTTGAATGTGTTCTTTCAAACTACATGCATCTCTCCGGAGACTCAACCCCACCCCATCCCATCCCACCTTGAGAATCACTGCTCTGAGCCAGTGTTGTCCACCTTGTCCTCTCACAGATCTTATAGGAAATGGTCAACAATTCTGTGAAAGATCTCAGGACCCAACTGGAGAAATCATATGAAAAGTTAAGCATAGTTGGTCTTGCTGTCACATGGATCAGAGGCACAAGTGCAGAGGCTGTAGTCATGTGGAACACTCTGTTATTTAAGATGGCCATCCAGATAATCCTGAACACTGTATTTATTTGATTTAGAGTGCCAGCAAAAATTAAAGCACAAAATGTAAAACATCTGAGAAAACTTACAGCCCCCTACCCAAAGAGTGTATCTGGGAAAGAGCCCCCAATGCTTTGAAAACTTAAGAATCCCCTATCATTAAGTTTGCTGTTCTATAATTTTAAGATTGTTAATTTCCTTCTTCAGTCTCTAGTAAGAATGTTTAATTTCTTTTCTAATAAAAAAATACCTATAGATGAAAAAAAAATTAGGTTGTAGGCTCAGATAAATGCAGACATGTATACATAAATATCCAGTGAGACATTTGGAAGTTGTACGGGATGCAGGACTTCCTTTCTTTCTTTTGTTTTTTTCTTTTTTTTTAGGTGGAGTCTCACTCTGTCGCCCAGGCTGGAGTGCAGTGGCACCATCTCGGCTCACTGCAAGCTCTGCCTCCCGGGTTCATGCCATTCTCCTGCCTCAGCCTCCCGAGTAGCTGGGACTACAGGTGCCTGCCACCACGCCCGGCTAATTTTTTGCATTTTTCAGTAGAGACAGGGTTTCATCATGTTAGCCAGGATGGTCTCAATCTCCTGACCTCGTGATCCACCTGCCTTGGCCTCCCAAAGTGCTGGGATTACAGGTGTGAGCCACTGCGCCCGGCACTTTTTTTTTTTTTTTTTTTTTTGTGAGAAAGGACTTGCTCCGTCACCCAGGCTGGAGTGCAGTGGTGCAGTCACCGCCCACTGTAGCCTCAGCCTCCTGGGTTCAGGTGATCCTCCCACTTCAACCTCCTGAGCAGCTGAGACCACAGGCATGCACTACCACAACAAGCTAATTTTTGTATTTTTTGTAGAGACAGGATTTCGCCATGTTGCCCAGGCTGGTCTCGAAATCCAAGGCTCAAGTGATCCATCTGCCTCAGCCTCCCAAAGTGCTGGGATTATAGGCGTGAACCACCTCACCTAGCCAGGATATTTATTTAATGTGCTGTACATGTAACAGCCCTACCCACTCCACACTAAATGCCAATCATTGTGATAGCCAAACCACCTGCCGAACTCAAATTTCCTGAATGGCCTGTAGGGGCAGCGCTGCCCCTGTTGAGGACTATCTTTAAGGAACCCAGAGGTGTGCTACTACAGCTTTAATGAGCATGCAGATTACCAGCAAGACTGTATAAAAATGCACCTGAGCCAGTGTGGTGGCTCACGCCTGTAATCCCAGCACTTTGGGAGGCCAAGGCGGGTAGATCACTTGAGGTCAGGAGTTCGAGACCAGCCTCGCCAACATGGTAAAACCCCATCTCTACTAAAAATACAAAAATTAGCCAGGCTTGGTGGCAGGCACCTGTAATCTCAGCTACTCTGGAGGCAGAAGTTGCAGTGAGTCAACATCTTGCCACAACAATCCAGCCTGGGGAACTGACTGAGTCTTTGTCTCCAAAAAAGAAAAGAAAAAAAAAAAAAAAAAGCAACTGATTCAGGAGCTCTAGAGTGGGACCTGGGATTTTGCATTCCAGGTGATGCCACTGCTGCTAGTCAGGGGCCACATGTTGAGTAGCAAGGACATAAGGAGTCACATAGTGCCTCCTGAGCTAAGTGTTTGTGGATTCAGGGCATGTCTTTCTAAAGCGGCATGTCTTTGAGAGCCACATGCTGTTGAATCTCCTGGGGTACTTAACAAATATGCATATCCCTGGCCAGGTGCAGTGACTCACGCCTGTAATCCCAGCACTTTGAGAAGCCAAGGCGGGCAGATCACCTGAGGTCAGGAATTTGAGACCAGCCTGGCCAACATGGTGAAACCCTGTCTCTACTAAAACTACAAAAATTAGCTGGACGTCGTGGCAGGCACCTGTAATCCCAGCTACTCAGGCGGCTGAGGCAGGAGAGTCGTTTGAATTTGGGAGGCAGAGGTTGCAGTGAGCTGAGATGGCGCCATTGCACTCCAGCCTGGATGACAAGAGCAAGACTTTGTCTCAAAAAAAAAAAAAAAAAAAAACACACACACACACACACACACACACACACATCCCTGAGTCTCTGACTCTCACTCTGAACCCCCTGATCAGGAACTCCCTGCAGTAGCCTATTAACACTTAATTCCCTGAGTGTTGCCTTAAAGCCACTAAGCTGAGAACCCCAACTTCATTTCTAGGCATCACCAGATCTTGTGGATCTTTGCAAAACAAAGCTCTAGTTCTCCATCCAAATCTCGGATTCTATGCAAGTCAAGAAACTGTCCTGAGGTGTCAGATAGAGGTTGGAGAGTTGGCCACCCACTGAGGTTCTGGACATTTTCTGTTTCTTGACTGGGTATTGGTTACAAAGATGCTCAAGCCATTTATACATTTATTCACTTTTCTTCCCGAATGTATGTTACATTTCACATATACACAGAGAAGAGGTCCTCTCCTTATTGGCTCTAGGAGATGTGGTTGATTAGCTCAGGGAAAGAATGAGGGGAATTGTTAGTTGCTGCTCAAGCCCAGTTATTTCCCAGCTGTGTCCTTTTTCAGTGAATTTCGTTGATTGTAGTCGGGCAGTGGGAGAGGACAGTATGGAAGACAGTGAAATGTTCGCTTTTGTTGTCCTGAGACCAAGCAGAGATGTTGACCTGCACTTCTTTGGAGAAGGTTATCTGGGACATCTGGAGAAGGAGCTGAGCCCTTTCGTCTCTAGATGTAGAATGTCCCTCTTGTCCCTCCCTGTGACATCACTGCCCCAGATGGCTTGGCCACAATAATAAAGCCACTTTCCCTCTGTGCAGGCAGTTGTTTACCGTGGAGTATTACAGCTAAACCTTCTCTTGTGACTATATTTTTACCTAAATAAAGAAGGTGACTGATTCCTTCAGGTGAATCGACTTCTCTAGTAATTCTGGCCCCACCCCTTCCACGCATCCCTCACATGTGGGTCACTGGGCCACCTCCAGGCTCTTAAGGGAGAATCTACTCCTCCTGGGGAGTCTAAGGATCCTAGGCTAGTTGTTCAGCAGAAAATCAACCTTGGGGCTGGCCCCACCCTGACCTTATATCCCAATTCTGGGAACTAGGACGTCTTCTCTGAGACCAAGGCTCTGCCTCAGCACCATGTGTAGTCCCTGTGTCTTCGCCTGGAATTCAGCCAAATATCCTGCCCTGCTTGTTCTCCTTGGCCCTTCTTACCTTTTTCTCACATTCCTGCACCATCCTGTGTATCTCTAGCAATGCCATTTACGCTGTGTTCCATGGGTAAGGCAGTGCCACTGACATGCAGGAACTCCCACCCACCGAGTGAAGCTTTTAAAAAGTTTTTTAAAATGAAGCAGATCATTTCACTCACTTGACTCATCGTCTATTCTTGCTCTGCTGGTTCATGCGTGAACACAAACATCCAGAAGAACTGAATGAGCAATGCAGTTGATTCATCCCGGCCAGTAGAGCATCTCTAGAGTATCTGAGAAGAGCCATTCAATTCTTCCATGGCTCAACTACAAACAATGCAAATCATCAATCTTGTAGTCGTCGCTGCAAATATTATTGGTAGAAAAAACGCAAAAGGAAATACAATAGTTAAAATTGCAAGTGATAAAAATTTGTTGCAAATGAGAAACTGCAGAAAGTAAACGTGGTACAGTTGAAAAGTACAACAATTGAACTGCAAAAAATTAAATGTGATAGAAAACTGAAATGAAATAAAAGCAACAGAAGGAAAAATGCACATAGTAAAATTGGTTTTTTAATCAATAGAAGGATCACATCTTGGCAAACCTGGATATGCGGAATTTGATTCAGGAAAATCGATCTTGGTGGAAATGTGATCATCCAAAGAAACTCAGATTGGCAAAAACCATGATGGACAGCATTCATATAGACAAAAAGTAATTGACGAACCAAATATTTTTGGTAAAGTTTATTGTAAAAAATCTGATGAAAAGATTTTTTTTTAAATTTTTTTTTAAGACAGGGTCTCACTCTGTCGCCCAGGGTGGAGGGCAGTGGTGCCGTCACAGCTCTTTGAAGCCTCATCCTTCTGGGCTCAAGCAATCGTTTCACCCCAACCTCCTGAGTAGCTGGGACCACAGATGTGTGCCACCATGCCCTGTTAATTTTAATTTTTTGTATTTTTTGTAGAGACAGGGTTTTGCCATATTGCCCAGGCTAGGCTAGTCTTTAACTCCTGAGCTCAAGCAATCTTCCCTCCTCAGTCTCCCAAAGTGCTAGGATTACAGGCATGAGCCATTGCACCTGGTTGAAAAGGCTTTTTTTTTTTTTTTTGATGGAAAAACATGGTACTGGTTTACCTGCATGGAAAAATTGTTCAAAGAATTAAAGTAGCTTGTAATGGAATTCACTGAGGAAAATACTGTCTCAATACAATTTCTTCAGTGGTAAAATTCAGATGAAAAAATACATTCATATTCATAAAGACAAAACAAAAATGTTTTTAAGTTTAAAGCACCAATTGAATCAAATAGAATGTTTGAAAATGGTGGGGTACAAATGAAACCTGATGACTAAATCAATACACCATCTTCTATTGGATCCTGGAGCAGAAAAAGGACGTTGATGAAAAATAGGTGAAATCCAAATGAAGTCTGGAGTTTGCTGGGTAGTAACGTACTAATGGTGGTGTTTTGAGTTTTGATCCATGTGCCATGATAATGTAAGATCTTAACATTAGAAGAAACCAAAAGGGACCGGGCATAGTGGCTCACGCCTGTAATCCCAGCACTTTGAGAGGCTGAGCTGGGAGGATCATCTGAGGTCAGGCATTCCAGACTAGCCTGACCAACATGGTGAAACCCCATCTCCACTAAAAATACAAAAATTAGCCGAGCATGGTGGCATGTGCCTATAGTCCCGGCTACTTGGGAGGCTGAGGCAGGAGAATCACTTGAACCCAGGAGGAGGAGGTTGCAGTGAGCCAAGATCGCGCCACTGCATTCCAGCCCGGAGGACAGAGTGAGACCATCTCCAAAGAAAAAAGAAAGAAAAGAATGAAAGAAAAAGAAACCTACAGGGATATATATACAAGAACTTTCTGTATTATCTTTGCAACTTTTCTGTAAGTCTAAAATTATTCCCCAAAATATGGTGGGGTCAAAATACCCTAGACCAAAGAAAAAGCAAACTGGAATTTTCATTGCAGCTCTTCCTTGAGTACCTTGGCTCACTTCCCAGTGGATCCCCTTAGCTGTGCCAATTTATTTCCAATTTCTATCTAGAGTATCATAGTTGTTACCACCCTTCCCTTCACCATCCTTTGTGGACTTGTGTGTACTTCCAGTCACCAGCCTCTCCCCACATATCTATACTTGGGCTCCAGACAGCTTCCTGTTGT